ATCTTATTATACATGGTGAAATATAGTATTTCTTCAAATAGGTTTTCAATTCCTTGCTCTCTCTCTTCTCATTTTGGTACCCCTATAATGCAAATGTTGGTATGCTTGATATTGTCCCAGAGGCTCCTTAAAGTCTCCTCAATTTTTTGGATTCTTTTTTCTTTTTGCTGTTCTGGTTCGGTGTTTTCTGCTTCCTTATCTTCTACATTGCTGGTTGTATCCTCTGCTTCATCTAATCTGCTGATTCCCTGTAATATATTCTTCATTTGCATTATTGTATCCTTTATTTCTGACTGGTTCTTCTTTATGGTTTCATCTGCATTTTTATGTTCCTATCTCTCTGTTGAAGTTCTCTCTGAGATCATTGAGCATTCTTATAACCAGTGTTTGGAACTCTGCATCTGATAGAGTGTTTATCTCCATTTTACTTAGTTCATTTTCTGGAGCTTTATTCTGTTCTTTTATTTCGGACATGTTTCTTTGTTTCCCCATTTGGCTGCCTCCCTGTGTTTGTTTCTATGTATTAGGTAGGGCTGCTATGTCTTCTGGTCTTAGTAGAGTGGCTTTATGTAGTAGGTGTGCTGTGGGGTTCAGTGACGGTCTTTCTGGTCACCTGAGCCACACACTCCAGGTGTGTCCCTTATGTGGGTTGTGTATGCCCTCTTCTTGTAGTTGAGCCTTGGTTGATAATTGCACATCAGGGAGGAACTGACTCTTGGGTTCACTGGTTGTGAGGACTGGCCTTGACTACAGTGGAAGAGTTGTTGTGCAGGGGCTGATCCTACAGAGCAGGATCTGCTTCAGCAGGACTTTGGTTCCTGCTAATCCCCCCTTGAGTGTGTCATACTTGGAGGCGGCTGGGTAATGCTCCAGCTTGTTTTGAAGCTGGCCACTGGGGGCAATAGCCCCAGGACCACCTTGGAGGGGCTCCATTGTAGGTCAAGTTCAGCCACAGCCATGCCCCACCCTGGGCCACCCAGCAGGAGCCACAAAGAAATCTGCAGATGGCTGCCACCTGTGCTGTGCTTAGAAATGCCTTGAGAGGCCAAGCCGCGAACCGAGCCCGGCTGCCACTAGACCTACGCTTAGGGGTGCTCAGCTAGAGGTACAGGACATGCTCAAGCCAGATGCTGCTTGTCTGGGTTCTGCGAAATTTGAGAGACCCTAGGAAAGCCTGTAGTTTGAGCCAAGGCAGGCGGTCTGCACTAAAAAGCCACTGAAAGCAGCCTGGGTGTGCTTGAAAGTTGGGCGGGGCCGGATCTCAAATCACCAGGGCATGGGGAACCAACACGGAGACTCAGATCTGGTGGCTGCCTGTGTCCGTAAGCAGGGAAGGGGGAGGGCTCAGTTAAGAAACAGTGACCTCCACCAGCTCCCCAGTCCAGTAGAAAGCCACCTCTCTAGCCCCCATCCCAAGCCAGACAACTCAATTGCCCACCGTAGGTCCCTGCTGCCTTTCCAGCTGCTGCCCCAGCACTGGAGCTCAGAGCAAGCGATTTCATTGGTGGGTAACTCTTTGCGCGGTCTGCTTAAGCAGAGCTCCTGGGAGTGCAGCCACACTTAGCCTGTGACAATCTCCGCTGGTTTTCACAACCAAAAATTATGGGGACTTCTCTCCCCAGCACTGGAACCCTGGGCTGGGGTGGGGCTGGGTTTTATCACTCCTCTGGGGGTTGGGGGATCCCCACAGCCGAAATACCCCTCCCGATCTTTAATGGTCACATGCGGGTGTAAGACCAGCCTGTTCTGAGTCTCTTCCCTTCCTTAGTCTGGAGGTGGCTTCTTCTGCACATCCTTAGTTGAAAGGCTCCAGTCTGGCTTGATTTTAGGCGATTCTCAATAATGGTTGTTTTGTAGATTAGTTGTAATTTTGTTGTGGTTGTGAGAGAAAGCACATTTACCTACTGCGCCATCTTGGTTGTCCATCTTGATCCACTTTTGAGTTCCTGGCTTGATGGTGGCCATTTCCCCTTTTGTATTAGCGGATTAAGTCCACACTCCAACCACTGTCCTTATCAGGCACTCACACTCTGGACTGCTATACAACATCCCTGATGTCCCAGAACCAGATATCAGTTTACTAGGGACAGCCCCTGTGCCCTTGAGCCCATGAAATTATTCAAATGAGGCCACTGGCAGGGAGCCTAGAAACCTATCTAGCTCCAGGCCACTTGCTATACATAGGGTTTGTAAGGATCTCGGCCTTGACCCTAGGCCGGACAGACTCAGCTGGACAGACTTACTTTTAAAAATCGTACTTCAGCTACTCCAGCTAGACTCTAAGCAGAACTTCCCATTAAGACAGTAAACACCTAGCTTTACAAGAAATGGGTTGCAACAGAAATATTAACAATGTTTTACAGAAGTAGTCTTGTCACAACTGGATTGGACCATTTCACAAAAAACTAACAGCTCTTTTTGCTTCTGTACACCTGCTTTGCTTCTGCTGGGGAATAAAAGGTTAAAGACCAACATTCCTCAGTTCCCCCTTCCTCTCCCCACCTTCATGTTAACATTTCAGGAGGCCTTGAAGCAAGCTAACTTTAGTTTTTCAACCCCCATCCTTAGTTTCTAAAATTGATTACATGCATATTTCTGAGAAACAGTTTATGCGGTCAACTCAACCCGGTCATGATATATTGTTAAGACACCTGGACATAACACTGTTACAACAGCGGAATGTGGTTTTAACTAAAGTAACTACACATTCTTCTTGGCTTCTGTAATGTACTTTGCATACAGCCCTATCTTATAAAAACCTTACCCCCCCACCCCCCGAGTCTTAGGGCCGTCTCTCCTTAGTTGGAGAGGCAGTTGCTGAGCTCAGCTTAATAAAATCTTCGGAACCCTAATTTGACATCCAGCCTCTTTATTGATTATCTGGACCCAACAGGTTCCCCCTACAGCTCCAGGTGGCTTATCATGTCTCCCTCTACAGCCTGCTGTGTAGCTCTGCCCGTTGCCCTTCTATCATTCCAAGCTCAAAGTATCTACCCATATGTCATTGTATTGTGTCCCACCATCAAGAATATTTAAATCTTATAAGACAGCTATAAGATTATTATAAGAGTCATCACTTGGTAAGGTCCTCACACCTACTCCAGTGTCTTGGGCATGGCACTAATTTTCTCCTTTCCCTCCAAGGTACATCTGGGTTTACCACATCCAGACCATGAATACTACTAATTCCTTTACTGGCGTATTTGTTGTGGGTGCCAGGGCTGGGCTTTGTGCATTGTACTGCCTGTCCCCCAGCATCCCTCCTCTGCTGCTCTGAAGCCTTGCAAGATATGGCTCAGGAGTCAGAAATCTCAAAGATGGTCAGAGATCTCAGTTGCCTCTCCTGTCCCTTGTCAGTTTAAGGTCCCTGCAGCCTACTTGACCAAACAAAATGCCAAAGCAGCACTACCATGGAATAGCCTAGCTACACTTTTGACACCCTAGAAATGAGAGGCCAGGCACACCACAGAGGTCCACATGAAACCGTGTCACATGTGGGAAGAAGCAGGTGGGGGAGAAACCGGGATTACGCCTTAATGATTAAAGTGGCAGGAAGTATCTAGGTGGGGACATCCCTATTGGGCAGGAAGTGAAAACACATTAGGGTTTGTTTTGGGGTGTTTGTACTTCAAGGTTTTCAAGCCCTTGGAAGCTGACTTGCACAACTTGATTATTAGTTTGGCCTTGTGATAAATGAATGCTAAATAGACAAAATACTGAATCTAAGAAAACAGAACAGCTCTGTATACACAGAGCAGCTGGCACCTATTGTGCCTGAAATCCAGCAGGTGCTCACTGAACATTTCTTAGATCAGTGAATACAGCAAAGCTACCCTATTCATTTTCACTTTACTATCAAGTCTTTCAAATACTGTATCACTCCAAGCCGTTAGTGAGCCACATTTTCAAGTATGAAAAAAAAAATCACATTTTGGAGACAAAAGCCTGAGCGTGCTCAAGATTCCAGCACCACTACAGGCTCAATTTCATTCTCTGGCTTTTCAAACTTAACTCTCTTACTTAAATTGCACTGAGATCTAATTTTTTTTTTTTTTTAGCTGAACCATCCTGCCACCTGTTGGCAGCTCAGCAGCAGCTCAGCTCGGGCCGGAAATCAAACCAGCGACCCTGTTGCTCAGAGCTCGCACTCTTGAGAAAGCTCTTAACCAACTGAGCCACTTGGCCGGCCCTAAACTTTTTTTTACATGTCATAGGTGCTACTTTCTTTAAATAACTACATAATCATTATTACTACCTTACAGTAATTTCTATCCACAAGCGTTTTTCACAGATAATGTTAACTCCCTTTGATGACACTGCTGCTGCAATTTCAAGTGAAATGATAAATCACTTCCCAGCAAAGAGATGAGATCATGGAATCCCACAGCTTTGCCTTGGGGGCAAGATGCTCCTTTTGTACACATGCTCTGGCTATGAAAAGAGCACACATTGCCCTGGCAGAAGATGGTATAAGTGATATTCTTTTCAGATGGGTTTCAGATTCTTAAAAGAATAGAAAAATATCTGAGCACACATTGCCCCGGCAGAAGATGGTATAAGTGACATTCTTTTCAGATGGGTTTCAGATTCTTAAAAGAATAGAAAAATATCTGAGGTATGGAGTAGTAAACATGAAGAAATGTGTTGTGCACTGGGTTCATACACAATCACTGACGATACAGCCAGGAAAGATGTTTTCTGTGGGAACCAGAGGCACAGCTGCACCCTTTCTACTTACTTCTGTAGCTCCTGTCATCCCTGCTGCATCTTTCCCACCAGGCCTCTGTCTGAGTCTTTTCTTGTCCTGGGCCAAATATACTGGAAGCTCATTAAACAGATACCAGAACTTAAGTCTACGTGTATTTGAAAAGCGACAAGCTATCTGACAGCTATGAGTGGACGTAGAATGTCATTATGACATGGTCCCTTTGGATGTGTTAGCCTTTGGGAATTTGCTGTGCTTCATAAAGCTTGAAATAACAGGTCCCTAACCTTTCTGTGACTTCCTACACTGCTCGCCAGGAAATCTGGGTGTGTCCTTTTTAAGAGAAGCGAAGCCTCGCCCTCTCCTTGGAGACTTGTAACTCTTATTTCCCACCGCCCCTGACCAAGTCACTAGCCTGTCGTCGGCCACTAATAAGTGACTTACGCTCTGAGAGGCGATAAGTGGTGGCCGTAGCGGAAACTACAATACCCAGAAGTCTCTACGGTCCGGACGGCAGTGGCGGTGGCGACTGAACCAATGAGGGCTTAGGAGAGGGGCGCATACAGCGCGCGCATCGTTGGGGCGGGACTGCCGGCGTCCCTTACGGTTATTTTGGTCGTTTTAGTGTTTGTCACCGGCTCAACGCCTCAGAGGCGTTTCGTGGGCATTGTGGTGAGCGAGCAGAAAAGTGCGAGGAGAGTTGTCCCGGCTGCACGGAGTCGGCTGTGAGGCCCGACTGAGCGAGCCCATTGGTGACGGCGGCGCCCTGTTCCCGCCCCGTCGCCCAGCTCCGGTCCCGCTTTCCCTACAGGTCGGTGGCGGGGGCCGCGGACTCAGGTGGGTGCTGCATCCCCCGGGCCTCACCCCGCCCGGCTCCCAGTCGGAGAGCGGAGGCCGGGTGGAGGGGCGCCGCTTGGTTTCCTGCACTCAGGTCCCCGTGTCCGCCATGTGATGAGGTGGGAGGTGGCTTATGCATAGGCTGCAGGTGCTGCTGAGTCGGCAACGCTGGGGACACCTGGGGTCTGTGTCTACAGGGAACACAGAGCCAGGTGTGTCGCCTGGAGCGGCGACATGAGCAGCTAAAAGCTATGGAAGATTGTGAAGGGACGGCGGTGAGGAGCGGTACGCCCTGAGTTAGAAGTTTAAAATGGATGAAAACAAGACGGGGAATGGAGGCTTGTGAGGTCACAGCAATAGAGCCCAGGGGAGTGGTGGGGGCTGGCCCAGGGCGGTGGCGGTTAGAGGGGAGGTGTGATGAGATTCTGGGTAGATTTCAGTAGAGCCTGAAGAATTTTCTGATGCATCACATATACCTGTGAGCAAAAGCAGGGAGTGAACCACCATCCTAAGTATTTTTTCCTGAACATCTGAAAGTATTCAGATAGGGAAGTCAGTGCAAGGAGCAGGTTTCTGGGGGGATCATGAGTTGGATTCGGGACATGTGACCCTGACATGTCTCAAGATAGAGATGTTATGACATGGATATATCATATGTGTAGGTGAACATAAAGATCTGGAAGCTGAGGCAGGGAGCAGGATTGGCGATATCAAAGGAGTGGAGAGTGCGGACTGGACCAGGGCAGGCCTGGGGACCAAACTGAGGAGAGTCTTAAGGTTGTTATTTCAGATGGGAGGGAAGGCATAGGGAGCGGGTGTTGGCATCCCCTCTGTTCCCTCCAGAAAAGAGAGGACCCGACATAGGAGGGACGCTGGCCTGTGTCTGTAGAAAGGGAGGCCTCAATGGGGTAAGGAGTCTGCCAGTTGGCTGGTGCAGATTCTCCACTTGCAGACCTTGCTAACCCTCAAGGCCACTCCGTATGGAACAACGGAAATGTCGACCAGGCTGGTGGAGCCACTGGGTCCAAGACCAGGTTACTGCTGCCTCACCTCCTTCAGCCCCAGAGCAAGAGATGTGATCCACTGCTTCAGTCAGGGTCCCCCAACAAGCTCCCCTCAGAGAATTATGTTGCAGGCAGGCCTGGTTGCTGAAGGGACTAGTAGCTGACCTGTCTGCTCAGTCTCTCCCTACAACTCATTAACTTAAGATTATATAAAATGTATTGATTTCATCACTAATTAACCAATATCCCTATCAATATGTACACACAGGTAGGCAATTAGAAGTGAGCCTACTTAATAAGTTCAGTTTATGCTAGCACTTTATAATTGGCTTGACATTAATTTCCTTCTAAGTGTTTGCTTACAATGTAGTTTTAGATATGATATTCTGTGAAACCTTAAAAAGCAGCAAAAATAAGACCCCAAAATTTAAAACCCTACCACTTCATCTGCACTGAAAATATATGGAAACTCAATCCTATGCACAGCAATAGCTGACATAGTAATAGCATACTGTGTAATGCAACAATACATAGTATGCATTCCTTACATTTGATACCAATTTGAGCCCTATGAAGTCAGAAGCATTCTTAACCCCCATAAGCATTTTTTTTTCCTTAGGTTCAGGGAGATTTGGTCCTTCTCCAAGGTCACCTAGCTGTTAAGAGGCAGCACTGAGGTCTGAGGAGCTGAGCTTGGACCATCAGGCTGAGGTCGCTTTGCTTTGGGGCAGGGCAGGGGTGATGGACCAGCACAGCGTGTTGGATCCTACCACGGCTGCCCATTTCTCATGGCCTCCCTCTTCCCACAGGGTCCCATGGCAGTGGCAGAAATGCTTATGGATTCTGTACAGGTGAGTGGAGGGCATCCCACCTTGAACCCATCTCAATTATCACCTCAAAAGTTTTGGCACCTCGATATATATACCCTCAGGGAATGGTAGTGCCCTGAGATTTTTCCCATTCTTCTAACTCTCTTGCGTCTGAAGACCATGTGTTTTCACCAAGCCCAGGACTTTATATTTAGTCCCAGGTTACATGCAGCAGTTCCCGTTTCTGACAACTGATAGGGTAGAATGTGGCAGGGAGCCCTGGCTGGCCACAGGATTTAGAAGTTCAAAAGCTTGCAGGTGAGACCTAGCAGGGATGTTTAAGGAACTGCTGGTCTGTGTTGTATCCGTTGGGAGTGAGGAGCCAGTGGGCACGGGGAGGGGTGCACAGGTGGTATCAGGCCTGGAATGACAGCCTGAGGTCCTGGGCCTCTGTCAAGTTGGTGTGAAGGTTTGAAGTAGAAGAGGAAGGTGCTGTGACCCAGATTTTAACAGGCTCCCTCTGGCTGTAATGTGGAAGACAGACTGGGGGCGTGAGTGCAGGCAGGGAGACCTGGCAGGAATTTCTTGGAGCAGTTGGCGGTGGCTACGCAAAGTAGTGGCTATGGAGATAGAATGGTTGGCTTCTGGATATGTTTTGAACTATACCTGCCCATGTTTTAGGCCATGATATGGAGTGTGAGGGAGATGAGGAGGTGGAATGGAAGGGAGAATCAGGGATGACTCCAGGTTTTCAGCCTCGTTAGGAAGGATGGATGCCTCATGAACTAAAATGGGAAGTCAGCAGGATGAGAAGTTTTCAGATGGAACGTGTGAAGTCAGTTTGTATCATGTCACAGATGTTCCAGAGACTGTAAGGGGAGGGGTCAAATGGGCTGTTTTACACAGAGGCCTGGAGTTCAGAGGACAGAATCAGGTTGGAGACAGCCACAAGTAGTGGCCGCTGTGTGGACTAGGATGAATGCGGAGGCCAGTGTCGGAGGCAGCATCTGTAGGTCATGGTGGTAATGCCACTAGAGCACAAGCAATGGCAGTGAAAGGCCTGAGTACCAGGCCTCCTGATTGGGCGGGTGTCAAAGACAGGTGAGGTGGGCATCACAGACAGGTGAGGAAGCGGAGTGTGTGTGTCATGTGGGGAGTAGGAGCGACAGCCTTCCAAGGCCAGCGTGCACGTGACATGGAAGTAGACAGAACATATGGGATCAGCCAGGAGAGTTGCTAGACTAGGGGGCGGTGGGAGTGTGGGTGGAAGGGCAGTGTAACTGGCTTTCAGTGAGGAGACAGGAAGGTTCTGAATGCTCATGGGACAGCTAGGGCAATGCAGAGCAGGAGGGCTAAGGTATGTGAGGTCCTCACATGGAAAGGGCATGGAAAGGTTTGC